GCCCAATTTATATGATTATGCGCGACCACGGGAGGTGTGTCCGTGGTGCGGTTTAGGATGTCCACGCAGGAGGCATGTTGGTCCACACGCTAAGGGTGTGACTACGTGGGGGGTTGCGAAAAAAAAAGAAGGGGCAACAGCTCCTGGGTCACACCTAGCATTTGGAATAGGCAAGTTCAGCAGTCTCGAAAACAGGGCAAATTAAAAAAAGCCGCCGCTAAATCTGCATTCCCGACACTTCAAAAAAACGGCCACAGTTTTAAACCCCCGCTAAACTTGCACATTCTGAAACTCAAATGATGACATCAGCGCCACTTTGCCTTTTCTTGCGTATTTCAAAAGTAAAAAGGTGACTCAGCAGCAGTTTCCCCAAAAAAGAAATATGAAGGCGGAAATGTCACCGTTCGAAATTCAGAAGTCGAATTCCGGCGAGTGACGACGTCTAGGTGTTGACAGGCATTCCCAGCGCGGCGGTGGGGCAGTGGATAGCTTCTTTTCCTGACCGTCCCTTTCACGTCAGCGCCCGTCTTCAAATTCCTGTTGGTAACGCCCATCTTCAACAGCCTCTTCTCGAAGTCGTCCCAACCACGTCTTGCTCCTCATCCATCCGTAATTGTGGCCCATCCCCGCAAAATGCGCCGCCTGGTCTCTTTTCACACGGCTGAGAGCAATCATGTGCTCCACGGTCCAGAAATCCCTGCTTTTAACCCCTTCGCCTGCGCTGTCCTCTGCCGTCTTCTTGCCTCATCGACCCGTGTGTGCTGCCCCTTTGAGGTTCCGCCCGCCGGTGCCCGCTGCCTTCTTTCCCACAGGGTGAATCTCCATTTCCTCCTCTTCATTCTCACCATCGTCGGCGTCGTCCGCCTCACAATCTTCACCCCCCGCCGGCTCGCAGTCTTGGTAGTGATCGTTGCCTCCGACGTGCATGCACACAACCCCCTTTGTTGGCTTGACGCATTTGCTGCCGGTGGTTGATCCAAACCTGCCCGCTGATGACTTCCGTGCAGTGCATACTTCTTCCTCATAGCGTCTGGACGACTCAATCCGGCCGGCGTCTTCCGTGCAGTGCATACTTCTTCCTCATACTTCGAACGAGACACCACCGAGACCGTTGTCTTCGTCCGTGAAGCACCTACTCCTGGCGTGCCAGCTCCCCCCCGTGTCAGCGATAAGAATCCACGATCGGCCACCACTTCACACGAGCACCCTGCACGGATTTCGCCCTCCTGTCTCCTCACAGATGACTGTTCCTCTGTTTTAAAGTGTTTTTCCTTTTCGTTTGTCAATCCTTTTGTGATCCTAATGAGAAACTCTTAACTTCAGTATGGCTACGCCGGACCCGGACCCGGACAGCTCATGTCCGGGGACCGGGCGCATGTCCAGTCAGGTCCGGACTTCCGGACTTCCGGACACATCCGGACCTCCGGACATACATGGTTCCGGACAGTCCGGACCAGTAAGCAGGTCCGGAAATGTCCGGACCATTAAAAAAAATAAAAATAAGAAAATCTGGAAAAAAAAATGTTATGCAGAATAACAATGCAAACCACTTTTGCCTCAGACTCATGTCAGAATTCCTAACCAAACTTGCGTTAAAAGTCAAAAACTATAAGAACTTAAAAAATGACTTCAAAAAGTAACGAATTATTAATAATTCATTACTTGGGTATTAGTTATTATAGAGATAGACCATGTCTGGACCCCCCAACAAATAAAAAACGCGCCTGAAAAAAACCCAAAACAATTTTTGGGGCTTGGCTCCTTAGTGAGGAAGGGTCCTGGACTTTTTTTTTCTTTTTTTTTCCTTCTTTTTTTCTTTTGCAGATCCGGACCTTCCAGACCGGACGTCTGGGGTCCGGACAGTCCGGACGTCTAGATCGTAGCCTATTTTTTTTATTATTTTTTTGAAAAACCAACCTCAGCATACTAGGTGGGGCGGTAAGAGCGCCACCCCCTAGTGGCCTACGGCTTCAATTAAGCCAAGGTGAGTAATGCTCTCAGTCCGCGTTGATTGTGCGGACCCTGGCCTCTTTTTTTTTTTTTTTTTTTTGGCCTCAAAAGAATTGTTCTTCGAAATATAACAATGGAATCATTGGAATGCGTGCTTAAACCCAAAAAACAAAACCAAAAAAAAAAACTCAGCTGAGAAAAATTACCTTCAATGTCTTCTTCCTCAACTCATCAGACTCCTTGGTAGGTCCCTGCAGCTTCTGGATTTGTTTGTTTAGCTCTTCAATCTGATCCTCAAATTTGTCAATATCCTGCATCATAAACATATATCCGGAAATGTGCCATCGCAACCATATTAAAAAACAAACAAATGAGTCTGTGCGCTTAGCTCAGTTGGTAAGGCACAGAAGTTGCATTCAGGAGGTCGTGGGTTCAATCCCCATTGGCCTCACGTACGTGCCTGGGCAAGCTTGGTGTTCTACCAGCTAGAGATAACCCATTGGCTCACCAAGCCAGCGTTGGCAGGACCTTGGCCAAATATTGTTGGTTGCTATGCGGCAATGATATTCGCCATTAAACACCGCTAATGTGGGGTTGGAGGGGGGTAGGGGGAGGTGCAAGTGACTGGCCAAAGATGCTCGCCACAAGCATCGCCGGTTTCCCCCGTCGGCAATGCCTGATCACCCTGCATCATCGTGATGAGGGGCTGATACAAGCCTTGCTCTCGCACCACTGCTGTAGTGCAAACCTACCCCTTGGGCTGGGGAGGGTTCCAGGTTTGGTTGGGTGGTAGTCCCCCCCGTGCTATACATAGAGTAGCGAGAGGATGAGATAGAATATATACAAAAAGAAGATTGAGTGAAGAATGTAGATTACTCAAAAAAA